GGGTAACCAATGGGGCAAAGTTCAAGAAAAATGTGGGGGAGGGAGGCAAGAATTCCTAATCTCATAAGGAAGATAACACACATAGAACTATTCTTAATACATAAAAAATGATAAATATTTTAACATAAAATCTAGAACATATAGAATTCAAAGTTATTATGAACAATAAAATAAAGTTTACAGGACCTTACACTCTCTTCTGAGCACAGTAAAAACACTAGCCAGAGTTCTGGGAGAAAGTAGCGGTGTTGCTTGACTCCAATCCACCATGAGTAAGAAAGTCCTCTAAGTGACACAGCAACTTCTCATTGTTTAGACTGAGGGTCAAACTAAGAACTCTGTATCCCTAAGCCTTATGACTCTTGAAATCAAAGTACTAAGTCTTTGTGAAGGTCTCAAAAAGCAACAGTAAAACATCCTAGGGTGAGACATTTAGACAAGGGGGGGGTTATTTAATCATTTTAAAGTAAAATTTAATTTACATAAACATAATAGTAAAGGAAGAAATAAGGAGTATTAATGAGAAGATAGTGATTTTTAAAATGAATTATCGCTTTAACTGGTTTGTCTCAGTGGATAGAGCATCAGCCTGCGGACTCAAGGGTCCCAGGTTCGATTCCGGTCAAGGGCATGTACCTTGGTTGCAGGCACATCCCCAGTGGGGAGTGTGCAGGAGGCAGCTGATTGACGTTTCTCTCTCATCGATGTTTCTAACTCTCTATCCCTCTCCCTTCTTCTCTGTAAAAAATCAATAAAATATATTTTTTAAAAAATGAATTATCTGAGATCTTTAAGGAACAGAATATGGTACCAGTAAAAAGAGGAAAAAAAATAATAGTGTTGATAAGACAACTGCTTTGAAAAAAGAGTCTTTTAGAGACTTGAGAAATCAATGCCTGCATTTAAATCTGCTAATGACAGACCAATCCAGTGATGGCGAACCTATTACACGGGTGTCAGAGGTGACACGTGCACTCATTTTTTTTGGTTGATTTTTCTTTCTTAAATGGCATTAAAATATATAAAATAAAGATCAAAAATATAAATCTTTGTTTTACTGTGATTGCAAATATCAAAAAATTTCTACATGTGACATGGCACCAAAGTTAGGGTTTTTCAAAATGCTGACACGCTGAGCTCAAAAGGTTCGCCATCACTGGACTAATCCCACTGTTCAGATCTAATGCACCCATGTCTTTATTTGAAAACTGCGCTGTTCTATTATTCTATAAACTTCAGGATATTCAAGAATCTTGTCAAGGACACTAACTTAGAAATAGAAGCCAAAACCTTGAGCTGTTAAATGCTTGGGAAAAGTTCATGCACAAAAGATTTTTCTTTTTCTGAAATTGGGAGTTTATTCTTCAAACAGTTGGGAATCCTTGATTGTTTTGAGCAGGAAAGTGACATGATCAAACCAGCTTTACAGGAAGGTTAAATGCAACAGGGATGAACAAAATGAATGCAGGAAAACTAGGGCATCAAAAGTATTTAAAAATCCAGTTATAATAAGCTAGGGAGTAAAGGTCTGTGGTGGCAGGTGAACTGGGGCACAAAGGGAAGATATTGATCTTGATACATACTTGGATTTGAAAGTCAAAGGGAGGCCCCAGCAAAGAGAAATAATATCCTTTAATAAAATTTTAACAAGTTGTAAAAAATCTGCTTTGGAGGGATGAGGAAGAATAGAAAATAGATTTTGGCTAGAGCTTCTATAACAGTACCAAGAAGACATTCAGGAGGAAACATTCACAGTTCACTGTGCTGGGATGCTAAGAATGAATGAGAGATTTCTTTGGGGGGATCATCTGCTTTGGTGGTTCTCAATTAGAGTCAGTTTTGCCTCCCAGATGACAGCACTGGCTGTCTGGAGACATTTTTTGGTTATCCTAACTGGGAGAATAGTATGACTGGATTCTAGTAAGTGTTTCTGGGTGTTGTTAAAACACCTGGAATGCTATCTACTAGATGCCAGTAGCAGAACAGCTCCCATCACAGAGACTTAAAAGCATGATCTAGTCCTGGCTGGTGTGCTCAATGGTTGAGTATCAACCTATGAAGGAAGAGGTCACCGTTCAATTCCTGGTTGGGGCACATGCCCGGGTTGTGGACTCTATCCCCATTAGGGGGTGTGCAGGAAGCTGCCAATCAATGATTCTCTCTCATCATTGATGTTTCTAACTTTCTCTCCCTCTCCCTTCCTCCCTGAAATGAATAAAAATATATTTAAAAATAAAAAGAATTATCCAGCCTCAAATATCAGTAGTGTCAAAGTTGAACACTCTTACACCCTCTCATAAACATCATAGTACATTAGGGATATCTTGTCCAATCAGTACATATTGTATATTTATGTTTAATTTATAGAAAACAAAAGTAGTATCAAATATTTATTGTCTTACTCTAATTTAGGCACTGTCCTTAACATTACATGGTTTATTTAATGTTTTAAATATGAGATAGGTATCATCTTTATCCTCATTTAACAGGTTAGGAAACTGACCCACTAAAAAGTTAAGATACCTGTCAAAAATCACATAGTTGGCAAGTTGGGAGGCCCAGACTGCAATCAATAAGTCTATTTCCAGAACCATGATTCTAATCACTAAGTTGGAGCATACAGTGATTATAGATACAGTAAAAATCAAGCCCCATTGCACATAAGAAAGATATATATAAGAAAGGCCCTAGCTGGTTTGATTCAGGGGATAGAGAGTTGGCCTGTGGACTGAAGGGTCCCAGACTTGATTCTGGTCAAGAGCACATGCTCAGGTTGTGGGCTCAATTCCCAGTGGGTGGTGTGCAGGAGACAGCCAATCTATGATTCTCTCTCATCATTGATGTCTCTCTCTCTCTCTCTCTCTCTCTCACTCTCTCTCTCTCTCTCTCTTCTCTCTCCCTTCCTCTCTGAAACCAATAAAAATATTTTTTAAAAAAATACGTAGAGCAAAACACTTTACTCCATTCATTCTTCTCACACACACAAAAAAAAATCAATCCTTTCAATATTAATAGCAACCTCTTCCTGTGTCACTGATACATTTCAGAGTGCCTCCTCTGAGAAGGTTTCAAGTGGGGAAAGATATCTTGAGCTCCATCTAAAGCACCAGTTTTGACAGTCATCATATTTTGACTTATGGGTCCAGATGTATTTTATATAATTTATGAATAATAAAGGTTCAAACCTTTCCAATAATATAATTTTACCTTGTAAATTAGAACTAAATAAAAGTTAGCCCTGTAATAACATATATCATATTTTCTTGCTTCCCACTATGCTTTTTCAAGTGACAAAGAAAGATACAGAATTAAAGCTAATGAGTTTGGAGGTGGCACTGAATGTTCACATGTGAATGTCTGTGATTCAGAGCAATAAAATCTACTGTTGAATATTATCAGTTTTATAGAATGTAGTCAAAATAAGCACTTAATTCCTCAAGGTTGATGTTTAAACCCTCCTTTTTAAATTATATGAATATTTCTTATTTTATTTAACCATACATTCAGAGTTTTAGTTCTATTGACTCTCCATTTGGAGAGTTCTATTGAATCTCCAAGATTACAAAGATAGTACCCATTTTTTTGAAACATGGTAGTTTCTAACATTTTGAAATAGTGAACTCACTCTTTAAATGATATATCCTATATAATAAAAGGCTAATATGCAAATTGACCTAACTGCAGAACGACCGGTCTCTATGACATGCACTGAGCACCAGGGGGCAGATGCTCACCACAGGAGCTGCCCCCTGGTGGTCAATGTGCTCCCACAGGGAAAGTGTGGCTCAGCCAAAAGCCCTGAGCTGGGCTCATGGCTGGCAAGCGCAGCGGCAGTGGTGGGAGCCTCTCCCACCTCTGGCAGGTGGACATCCCCTGAGGGCTCCTGGACTGCAAGAGAGCACAGGCTGGGTTGAGAGACACCTCCCCCCCCACCCCCCCGCTCCAAGTGCATGAATTTTAGTCTCTAGTTAAGAAATAAAAATGTTCATAATACGGAAATATGGAAAAGAAAAAGGGAGAAATTCTGCAGCCAGTATGAGGGAGGGAGTAGGGTAGGGGGCAGTGGTTAGAAATAATGGGAAGAAAGGACCCAGAGATCCACCCATTTGCCATCATTACTCAGGCTACAACTTAGGCTACTTTGGGGGCTCCATACAACACAATTTAAAAAGGATTATCCAATACATTTTAGGAGAGTTTAGAGAATAAAATTATCATAACCATCTTATAAGTATATTAAAGTTATAGGTCTAGTAGATATTTTAATTAAATTCTGCTTTAAAATGTAGTATCATAATATACATGTCATGAAATGCTACATCTTATTTTATGTGTTAAACTTGAATTTATTGATTTTCAAGTGGTATACAGTATCCTGAGGCACTTAGTTATTGTCTCAGCCTGTGGCTAATATTTAATTTCTTGACCATTTATGTCAAAATGCAAATTTAGTTTTTATTGCAAAAATGTATTATATTTAGTGGGCTTTTAAATATAGTTCTCTGGCACAACACTTAATTTAAGATGGACAGTTGTACTCTTTTAAACTGCATTTGGAATTATTTCTGAACAATAAATTTCTTTTTTATTGTTTCCTTATTTTCTGATAAACAGAGTGATGGTAATAAATCTCGACCCTGCCTTTGGTCTAGATATTTAGTAGCTATGTGTTTGTTTTCTTTGATAGCAACATGCAGTAATATTTATGACCATTTTCCTTTGCAGCATCTCCCAGATGGCTCCGCGCCCAGCGCACATGTTGAATTTTATCTTTTACCATATCCCAGTGAAGTCCGTAGGAGGAAAACAAAATCTGTTCCAAAATGTACCGACCCCACTTACAATGAAATTGTAAGTATGATTCATCTCTTGTTCTGTCCTTTTGTATATTTCTTACCATTTTTCAGCCTAACAACCAAATATGGAAAACTTGCAGTAATTGGCAGCATTATTACATGAACAGTAGACGTTTCCCCAAAAATAGCCACTGTGTGCTGATCACTGTTCTAGAGCTTATGGGAACAGTCAAATACTGATACTGCTTTTAAAGTGCTCATGCACCAGTTTTCAGACTGTGGCTAGACTCCGGTAAGAGCCTAAGACTATGTAATAGTTAATTCACATACTCATATTATCCCTCACTCCATCCTATTGTCTCTAATCTTACTTTCCTTTTACCTGGTTTTCTTTACCTAATGATCTTATCATAGTCTACTCTAACCTATATATAAAGACACATTTCAAAAAATCACATTTGAAAAAAAAACACCAAAAAATATGTAAGTGCAAAATACAAATTAAATTACAGTTCATTTATACTAGATATAACTATTTCATCTGTGTTATACAATTTGAACATCCAAAGCCCTACTTTTATCTAAGGCAAATCCTACATTTATTCTCTTGATTCCATCTTTCCCATTTCTTTGTACCTCGCTCAGTTGATTATTTGCTCTTCTTAAGGCTGTCTCATCCATTAAATCCTTGCTCAGAAATCTTTAGAAAACAAAACAAACTCAACTCAATGTTTCTAAAGCATCCCATTTTTCCTTCCCTCCATGTCATCTCCAAACTTTTACAGAATTAACTCACATTGCCTGCACTCACTTCATCACCTCCTTTTCGCCCTTTAATCCTTTGCAATGCGGATTCTGACTTTAATTGATGCTACTTAATCCATTGAGCCCTCAGGCTCTCTTCTCCTGAAGTTACACAGCAACCCTGTTGGCTATGCCCCACTTCTGCCACCTCCCTTTTGTTTCTTGAGTTTAACCTTTTCTTAATTCCCTTCTATCTTCTCTAACCACTCCCTCATTTTTCTTCATTTACATTCTTCCTCTTAAAGTAGTGTTGTTTGTTGGAGTTCTATCATCTGTCTACCCTTATCTCTTCTTAATATTTATTTTCTCAGATTATGTTGCATTCCACAAAGTTTCATTTATCACCTATATTTAGATTGCATCTGAATCTATTCTTCAAGCCCTGGCTTCTCTCCTAACCATTTGACCTGCACTTCTGCCTGATCACTGGGGAGCTCCATTTCAATGCCTCCTAGCCACTTTTTAAACAAAATATATTTTTATTGATTTCAGGGAGGAAGGGAGAGGGAGAGAGACAGGAATATCAGTGATGGAGAGAATAATTGACCAGCTGTCTCCTGCATGCCCCACACTGGGGATCGAGCCCGCAACCTAGGCATGTGTCCTTGATCAGACTCTATCCACTGAGCCAAACCACCTAGGCCTCCTAGCCACTTTTAAATCTGGCTTACCTCCTCTGTTTACCATCTCAAAAGATACCTTCTAATGACATCTTGACATCTCCCTGTCTCACTCACATGTCCAAAGAGTCACCAAGTTTTGTCAGTTCTACTTGTGCAGCTTCCTGCCTCTTAAATCTATCACCTCCTCTCCGTACCATTACCTTTCTTTATTTGAGGTTCTTATAACTTTGGCTACTATATAGCCTTCTATTGGACTCCTATCTTGTGTTTTTTTATTAAATCTTTCATATTTCTACCTAAAATGTCTTTCAAAAACTGGTCATATTTATTAATCTCCTGTTTACATTTTTTCAAAGATCCCTTACTGCCTACTGTATAATGTCAAAAATTCTAAACATGAATTTCATAGCCCTTAAAACTTGCCTCGGTAATTTTCCTAAGTTGTCTCTTGGAGCAATATCATCCTCATAAGCTTTTTAAATTTTATTTTGGGGTACTTATAGATTCATGGGCAGTTGGAAGAAATAATACAGAAAGAATGCAAATACTCTTCAACCACTTCCCCCAAATGGTAACATCTTTCCTAACGATAGTATAATATCACAGCCAGGATATGGACATTAATTCAATCCGCTGATCTTGTTCAGATTTCACCAGTTTTACATGTGCTCTTGTGTATGTGTGTGCGCGCTCAGTTCTACACATTTTTATCACATGTATAGATTTGTGTGACCACCGGTACAGGCAAGGTACAGAACAGTTCCATTACAAAAATTCCTGGTGCTACCCTATTATATCTGGAGATACTTCCCTCCCTGCAATACAACCTCTCAAACCACTGGCAACTACATACTAACCTGTTCTCCAGGTTATCAGCCTTTTATTATGACACTCTATAAATGGGACCATTCAGCTTGGAACATTTTGAGATGGGCTTTTTTTACTCACTTTTATTTCCTAGAGATGCATCCAAGCAGCTGCATGTATCAATAGTTCATTCATTTTCACTGCTGAGTGGTAGTCACAGTGCAGAGGTAGAAGAGTTTTTTAACTGTTCACACATGAAAGGACATCTGCGTCTTTTCTGGCTTGGGGCTAGTGCATATTGCAAACAAAACTACTGTGTATTAGGGTATAGGTTTTTGTGTGAGCATAAGTTGTTAATGGGGTATCCAGTAATGTCATATTTAGTTTGCTAGGAAGCCGCCATACTCTTTATCTGTACCATTTTACACTCCCACCAACAGTGCATGAGTGATCCAGTAGAAACTTCATCTTTGCCAGCATCTGGTGTTATCACTATTTTTTATTTGAGTTTAATGGGTATAGAGTGATATGTCATTGTGGTTTTAATTTTCATTTACATAATGACAAATGATGTTCAAGTTCTACTCATGTGCTTATTTACCATCTGTATATCCTCTTTGGGGAAAAGTCTTTGCTCATTTTTAACCGGATAGCTTGCATTTTACTGTGAAGTTTTGAGAGTTCCTCATACATTCCTGATGCTAGTTCTTCATCAGATATTTGGTTTACAAATATTTCCCCTCTTCTGGAGCTGATCTTTTCATCCTTTTCACATGGTCTTTCATAGAGTAAAAACTTTTGGAAAAAATAAGGTCCAATTTATCCATTTTTCTTTTTATAGATTGTGCATTTAGTATCAAGTCTAAGAATTTCTCACTTGGCACTAAGTCTTACAGATTTTCTTCTATATATTTTTCTAATGTTTTATAGTTTTATATGTTATATTAAGCACATTATCTATTTTGAGTTAATTTTTTAAATAAAGTGTGAATTAGGTTGGGATTTATGTGGGGTTTTTTGCCTATGAATGCCAATACCTCTGGCACCTTTTGTCGGGGAGGCAGTGCTTCCTTTATTGAATGTCTTTTGCACCTTTGTCAATAACCATGTGCTGATGCCCTTTATTGTCCCATACTTAGCCATATTCTCCAGTCACATCAGGCAGCTTGTATTCCCTAAATGGTCCCTAAGACTTCGGGATGAAGCTCCTGCAGCATCCAGCCCCCCTCTATCTTTCACTGCTGCCTTTGAGACTTACTCCAAATGTTTTAACTTCTCCCCTGCTTTGCTTCCTGAGTGCTAGCTATTACATTAGCCACTCAACCAGGGCTGGGATTTCTCAAACTGCCAAAGCCATGCACTGTTCTGGGAAGTGGAAGAGAATGACCTCGCTCTCCTTTTAGTATAAATCTCTTACAAGGAATACAAAGCGTTTATTACGTTGCATCACCAATGTCTTACAGTTTTTTCATGAAAATATCTCTTTCCACTTTTATTCACAGCCCTCTCCCTCCCTAAGACCCAACCCTGAGAGAGGCTGGGTCAGGGACATTGCCAAGTGTCTCTTTAGTGCCCACCCATCAGATACCAAAGCTTACACACAGAGCCATGCTTGTCTACTTGACACTTCCCAGAGTGGGTCTTAACAGGCTTTGCCAGCAGTCTCCCTGAAAAGCCCCATCTTATACAAATCCCAATGGTAGACATGACTGCGTACAAGGTGGGGCAGGACCAGTGGTAGGAATGCTCGGAACTGCATTGCAGCTTTTAAGAAGCAGAGCTGGGATTCTGGCTCAAAGCCTTTGCTCTTTTCACTCTATTACCTTTGGCATTGGGTTAAAGCCATCATTGCTTTTTAATGATTCGATAGAAATACAGATTCTAACTTACAATGAATTTATCTTATTATAATCCATGTGTATTTTATGTTGTGTTCCTTTCTTTGATATTATCCTGTTGTAAAGCAAAAGCTGGAATTAGGAAGGACAGAGCAGAAACAATCTGTGGTTTACATGCCTTAAAATATCTTTTAGAACATGTATGACTACCTAGCATAACACTGGGTACATGGTACACTCAATAAGCAATAGCAATGGCTATTGTGAACCTGTATGGTCTGCAAACTTGCTATTCAGAACATGATGGAAATTTTCCTTGTAAATACAGACATTGAGCCCCTGAGGTCAAACATTTGACCAAAGCCACACAACTAGATTTTAGGTTCCAAACTTCTTGATTCCGAAGTCCATATTGTCCCCTGAACTATGCTTTGTTACCCCTCCCTCTCTCCACCCACAGAGTTCTGTTCTCAGTGGTTTTGAACTCTCTCTTTCATCATCCGGCCTCCTCACCCCTCTTCCCACCAGCACTAGATACACTTCCGTTTCCATGTTATTGTTCTCCCATTGCAATTAAAATTCACTTTAGAACTATTCACTAGACCCTGGTGTCAAATATGACACAGTGAATGATTGTATGTAAATCAATAGACATTAATTATCTCAAACATCATTTTTCTACTTGGTATAACAATTTCAAACCCACAAACTCAATATTTGTCAGTAGGCAATGAAGATTTGGCTCATGCCTATGGGTAAAAAAGTACCAGAAAGTGAAATCAAAAGAGCTGTGCAATTTAGGTCTGTTTATGTGATGGCAGAATACATATAAAATCATTTGATGAAAATGCTTCAAAGAATATAATCATTTGTTTACTTCTCTAGCATTACTCACTAATTACTCATTGCATAAAAAGAATGCATGATTTTTTTTAAACAATGTTGTATGTGCAGTTAAAAAATTAACAGACATATGTCATCTAGGCTGTGCAATGATTGCATGCCTATAAAACTCCAGTCACTTTTTAAAAAAATTATGCATAATGAAGCAAAGAGGGAAAATCCATAAAATAATATAACCATTGGAGTTTAAATGTTTGTATTTTAACTAGGAAGGCAATTAATTTCAAGGGTCACATCTTGAGAATTTCAGCTTGCTAAATGCCTGTGAGACTCAAATCTCTCTTGAAGTGTTTTCTTCAGTCAACTAATGCAAAATTCCAAGAACACTGTTCTTTCTTGTGTATTTGATGGACCTTTTTCAGCTATAATTTATTAGTGTTTAATAGTTACCAGGTTTTGTGTTCATTATCGCATTTATTCTTCCCCACAACGTTAAAAGATAAATATTATTATCACCATTATGCAAATAAGAAAACATAATTGACAACAGAACAGATGCATGTAAATATGAATAATAGATATGCTTCTTTTACAGTTACATCATTAGGGCCTATTTATATCATTCACGGAGTTCTTAAGCCAGACTTTTCTAAAGGCCTAAGGCTTAGTTATTCTATTTTTTGATTTCATATATCTTGAGGGCCCCTTCATCTATTTCTCTATGAGAGAAGAGATGGGTTCATGCCGGGGCTGACAGCAGACCCTGAGCTACGGATGAATGATTACTCTGACACACAATTCTGTGAAAGAGAGGACTAAGGGACAGCCTGGCTAAAGGAACGAGACAGCCCCATTCACCTGCCTCCTTAGCCTTTTATTGCAGCAATAACTTGAACTAAAATTAACTATTAGATACTTTCCATAGGGTTAGCATCCTTGAGAAGACACAGGTATCTGTAGTGTCTTTAAAACAAGGATGTTTAAGGAATAAACATAAAGATTCTAGCAAAACACCTAGGGGCTTGGACTTGTTTGGAAAAGTCAAGGCAGGGTCTACTGTGTTTGTCAAGGTCCCCCAACATGCCTCCCACCTTTCAGAGAATCCTCCTTACAGACTTTCCAGCCAAGTCCTTTGCTTCCCCACAGGTTCATCTGCTGAAAGTGTTGTGGAAGGAAAATGGACACCAGTTTAGACAGTTCAAAATAGCCACTACAGAGAGAGGGTGAAGGAACTTACTCTGAAGTCCTGGAAAAGAACAAATCCAGGAGGAGAGAGTGGTTCTGAGAGTCCATGTTGGGCATCCATTACAGTTAAAAAAGATTAATTACAGTGGTGCGGTTTTGGGATTTTTTAAGGCAGCCCATAAAATTCTTTATTATCCCAGGGAGCTCAATGAACAAAATGGAATTATTTGAATAAGCAGTCCAAGCAAACTGAAAAGACACTCTCCTGTGTGGAATGTAAGACTCTAGAAGAGGACGTAGGCAGGAGCTGTCTGTCACACGAAGCAGGGTAGACCGGGCTAACATATCATGTTGAATCTCACATTCTTCATTGAATTATTATTTACTTGACAAGTGAATCATTGTTCAGAGCAGTTGGAAAATTTTGAACAGAATTTCATTGATAACTTAACAGTTTCATAAATTGTAGGCAAATTCCAGTATGACGGACCAGAAACTACATCCACACATACCGAGGAAGCTTCCCTACTGACTCAAAGGACTTCCCCAAAGTTGTTTCCTCTGCTTCTTTTTTGCATGTATAGAGAACACTTTTTTCTGTCTTGTAGCTTGTTTATAAAAAGCAAGCAAGTTTGAAGCAGCATACAAAACTGCTTTTCTAAATGTATTCTAAGGAGTTTCCCTGGGAACCACGTTGGATTTACACACAGCTCTCTCCCCCACCCCATCTCATGATGCATAATTAATTTCTTAAAAATGAGAGTACTACACTTTTAGCTGCTTTGACGCTGCAGGCACCCAGTGGTAATGCCTATGACTTACTTACTTCCTGGATATTATAAAACACAGTTAAACATATCCCTTTCAAAAAAATGGTTACATTTCTAGTAAGTGAACAAGAGCAAGACAGAAAACTGTATATACAACTTAAATACAGTTCAGATTCATAAAAAGTGATTATTTATAGAAAACAAAAAGAGCAGCTGAATGTTGACTGCAATTATCTCCCAATGGCAAAAATATAAGTATGTCTTTTCTTTCTTTGTTCTTTTTTTGTTTTGTTGATCTTTTATTTAATGAGCACATATTTTCATAATTAAAAATAAAGCAATTTTAAATAAATGATAGTAACCACAGAGTGACTTCTTCGCATGTAGAAAGAAATGTTGCTGCGCTGCATTAAAGTAACACAGAGAAATCATGGAAACTGGTCTGCTTTCCTCATTAGCCTTCAACAAAGAAAGACAGTGTTCAAGTTCCCATGTTGCACAGAAAATTCAAGGACAGTTAAAGGTGAAGTGTATTTAAATTTCTTTCCAGAGAATAATTTACCGTTTTATTAAATTTGGGACGGACCATTATTAATAAAATCAGAGTATAGTCTAAGCTTCTTCTAAAAATATTCTTTCATTAAACTTCATTATGTTAGCCAAACCTTTAGCTTTTCAAAATTAGAGTTAGAAATGAAGGATTCTAACAACATCAACCTATCCATGCCAAGGTACAAGATATTAGGAGCTAAATGTTTTTATTAAAAGCAATATTTTTAAAGATTCATTTCGCATATCTGAGTTATATTTTCATTACTCTTCTACCTTTTCAGGTGGTATATGATGAAGTCACAGAGCTCCAAGGACATGTCTTAATGCTAATTGTGAAGAGCAAAGCCACATTTGTGGGAGCAATTAACATCCAACTTTGTAATGTCCCACTCAATGAAGAAAAATGGTACCCACTAGGAAACAGTATAATTTGACCATTGCTGTGACCGTATGCATTATTCATTAATTGCTTGTATTTCTATCACATGAGTAGGATATTTTTGTTGCCAAATATAGTGTAGCGTACTAAGGACACAAGAAAAAGAAATCAGAATCAGTCCTTTATAGTTAGTTATTCTCTAACTGCAGTTCACTCTTTTCTTAGAATCCTTCCTCATTAAAGAGAAAGTCAATTGCTTGTATAAAATTCAATATGTAAAATAATAAAAAGACATTTAATTTAAATACATCTTTGAAATCTAATGTACGTTCATGCTTTCTTTTAATTGTTCACTTACAGTTAAAAGTAATATAGTATTTTTTAAGAAACACAGCCAAATAAATCTCATCAATTAATCAAGACATAATTATATCTGCAATAAATTACTCACATTTGAATTCAATATATGTATACCTGCCTAACCACTCATGATCATAGGTATTGATAGTCTCCAGCAGAATGTTATATTATTTTCTATTAGGAAAACAAAACATAAATGCTGGAGCTACTTAAATACAATTCTTGGCAAAAACTTCTTTGTCGTTTTTTACCCTTTTCCACAGCAGTCAATTCATCATCACTGGACTTCACCCACCCAGAGGCATGATCACATTTTAAACTTCATTATCCCCTAAATCCAAGATCTCAAACTCTGAAACTCTCCCCTTGATCAAACCTATTTTCTTTGCACATCCATTATTTTCCTTCTGAACCTACCTTTATACTAACTATGATCTGAATAAACAACCCTACTGATTTAACTTACAAGTTCAATGTATAATTCAAAGCACTATGCCACATTCTTTGTGAGAATTAAATACAACTTTTTAAAAATCCATGTTATTTAGATTACTAAAAAAGATCTTAAACCCTTGCTTTATTCAGTGTTTTAGTGTGTTTGAATTTAAAAAGTAACTTAAGCTTTTATTGATCATCTACATAACCATATAAACATATAAAAGAGAAACTAGGCCACCAACTTACACCATACACAAAAATAAACTCAAAATGGATAAAGGACTTAAACTTAAGATGGAAAACCATAAAAATCTTAGTGGAATCCACAGGCAGCAAAATCTCAGACATATGTCGAAACAATATCTACACCAATACAGCTCCTAGGGCAATGGAAACTAAAGAGAAAATAAATAAATGGGACTACATCAAAATAAAAAGCTTCTGCACAGCAAAAGAAACCATCAACAAAACAACAAGAAAACCCACTGCATGGGAAAACATATTTGCCAATGTTATCTCCGATAAGGGTTTAATCTGCAACATTTGCAGGGAACTCATACAACTTAACGAAAGGAAGATAAACAACCCAATTAAAATACCAGCAAGGACAATTCACCACAGCTAAGATTTGGAAACAACCTAAGTGCCTATCAGCAGATGAGTAGATTAAAAAACTGTGTTACATCTACACAATGGAATGCTACACTACTAATGTAATACCTTACTCAATAAAGAAACTTAAGAGCCCACTTGGATATCTAATATCTCAAACTCAGAATGTCCAAAATGGAACTCCTGATTTTCCCCCAAAACCGGTTCTAAAGAGCAAAAATATTGAAGTCATCCTTGATTCCCTCCACCCGCTTCAGTATAATTTAATCCAGCAAGAACTCCTGTTGGCTCTACCTTCCCAATACATCCCAATTCCAACCACTTATCACTCTCCATTGCAACCTTTCTGTATACAAGTAACCTCTCTGTATACTACAATTGCCTTCTACAGTCTCTTTGTTTCTGTGTTTACCCTGCCACCCCTCGTACTCTATTCTCAACACAGCAACTGGAACGATCATGTCATTCTTCTGCTCAAAGCTCTGCAGGAGCTTCTCATCTCAAAGTAAAATCCCAAACCTTTAAAATAACCTGAAAGGTCCAATGTGATTTGGCCTCCCATCAGCTACCTCTCTGATTTGAACTCCTATTATATCCTCTTGCTTTCAAAAACTGTGCTTCTTCCCCATATATTCACTTGCCTAATTCTTTCATTTCTTTCAAGTCTTGATTAAATATTTTGATTGCTCTTAGGCCTACCCTGACAACTTTAAATAGTATTTTAACCTGCCCTGTCCTCAGATACATTCTGCTCTCCCCCTTTTTAAAAGGCATTTATCAATTTTGAAAATTTTATAAACTCACTTATTAATCTGGTTTATTATTTAAGTTTTATCTCTTTTCACTAGACCACAGATCCCAAGGTTATAGGGAAAGTACAGCCTAAATCCAAACAAAAGATCCTTTCCTGGTGCCCTCACTACAGGGAATCCTGCCTCTCCTGACTCTAAGCCACACCCAAGACCCTCATTTTAGACCACAAGTGAGGACTTGATAACATATGGGAGAAATTCCAATGCCTAAAGCAATCGCCCAGCTATAACATAACTGTCACAAATTAGGATATCTTTTATTTCCTAGCACAGAATCCTTATGCTTTCAATACATTTTAGTTAAACAGATTAAACCTAACCAAAGCTTTTTCATCAGAAAGAATGTTAGGGGCAATATAACATCGACACAGAAGTTGCAATGAGCCAAGACACACGCTATAGACTTTCAGCTTTGGTAAGCATGGCCGTGTGGATTTATTGACCTTGGTGGTCTGTAATGGCCTATATTGAGTCAAATGACTGATTTTCATCATTAAAGCTTTAACAACCTTAGGCATTAGTGAGTACTGGTAACATAGGATATAGTCCTTAGAAAAAAGTAGACTCTAAGGAAAAGACAAACTTTTTTTCTTAAATAAGCTTTTTAAGAATTGGGTGATAAAAGAACACTGGCTGCTTTCTTTAATGGATTTCTCAGCCAGATCTCAAACTACTAGGCCAGAAATTAAAACAGCAGCTGAATTCAGATTGTGCTACAAACTCTAGTGAAGTGGTAGCTTAAAATTCTTAGCTGCAGACACAGGTATACCTGCCTACTGTATCAACTTCCCAAACTTGTGTTCATGTGTGTGTGCATGCGCACACACACTGTTTTGAAGGACTTTACAGTGAGAGAGTATTAGAAAAGACAAGATCAAACCTGAATTCATGTGTCATGTCCATAGATTGAAGTCACCTCAACAACAATCTCAAGGAAGCTCTGCATGTGATAACTAAAGAAATTCTGATTATTGGAGCTCAGAGACTTAAATCATGATTGCTACCCTAGGAGAAAGGTAGATTTGATTAATATTTAAATCAAAAGAAATAGCAACTCTTTTTGTAAAGAGACTATGTCTCCTTCCTAGGCTGAGGTCAAAAAATAACTGGCTGAGATTATTAAATGTCCCCAATCTGAGAAAGCAGTTTTAAAGGTCTGTGACCATCAGGCTCTGGCTCTGAGTTCCTGGCTTACCCCAGGAATCAGGAAGAAACTGGATTAGTTTGAAAAGGAGCTAATTCCCTACTATCTGAACAAGGCTAGTGGAAGAAGGAAAATAAAATAGAATTAGTCAAACTGAGTAGCAATGAGAAAGACATTTCCTTAGAAGAAATATTGATTATCTTAAAACATAGGCTGGGCAGATCTGAAGGGGAAATAATATGCGAAGAGCTAACAGAGAAAACTACAAGATTTAAAAGTTGATACACTCAAGTCCAACTTCTCTTGGAGAAGGTAATAGAAAAGAACAGTACATTTCAGTTGTTAATGATTCACAAAGGAAGACTGGTATCTAAAAAAAATCTATCAAATAAAAAGTAAATGCCTTGGAAAGAAAATATAGTGAGATCTCAGAGAGACCTAAGATCAGAAATTTTAAAAATGATCCTTCTTAAAACAGTAGCAGTCTTAAGAACCATCCCTTAAAAACTGGAACAGAGTGATTAAGTGGTTAAGAAAATCAAGTCAGATTCAAGAGGAAAATCCAGGAAGATAAGTGTAAAGGACTCAAAGAATTATTGCATGTGTTTCAAAGGGACAGAATTACTGCCAAGGAGATGCTCTGAAGAACTATATCTAGAAAATTTATGAAACTGATATTCTATGAGGAAATAAAGCAAAGAGGGGACTTATTAAAGGGAAATCAGACAAGGTGGTTAGAGATTAAGGCTTGGTTTGGATCAGGTGTTGGTTTGATTGGAACAGTATATTTTAGGTGGAAATATCCTACTCAAGAGGATCAAGATAGTCAAGACTTGTTTAAACAATAAATGTGTAACAAACATGGAACTCACTGACTTTATCTCTCTCAAACAAAACTCAGAGAAGAAAGTTAGAATAACAATTGTCTGGGCCAGGGAGCCAAGGGAAAAGTAAAAAAGGTACCCAGGTCCAAGAAACTATGTTATTCCTATGTGAGCGAGAGAAAAGACGACTATAAAAAGCTGAATAAAAGGTTATAGACCCAGCTGAAATTATCTGAAAAGAAAATAGAAACGATAAAAGGCGAGGAATAACAAAGGTGTTCCCCACGTCTTCAGAAAAAGACTTTAACTAAATAAAATACTATTAAACATTTCTGAAATTTAAGAACTGGGGAAAGAAAGTGTTTTTGTTTTTGTTTTAAAAAACATGCTTTATTGATTTTTCACAGAGAGGAAGGGAGAGGGATAGAGAATTAGAAACATTGATGAGAGAGAAACTTAGATCAGCTGCCTCCTGCACACCCTGCACTGGGGATGTGCCCACAACCAAGGTACATGCCCTTGACCAGGATCAAGCCTGGGACCTTGCAGTCTGCAGGCTGAGACTCTATCCACTGAGCCAAACCAGTTAGGGCAAGAAAGTGTTTTGAAGACCAGATGGCAAGAATACTAATCTTCACCAGACTCCTAATGTTCACAGACATGAACTGGAGGTTCAGGTAAGGAACCTGCTGCCAGTGATCCTCCAGCTGAAACAAATGTGGTGATAGAGGTGAAAACTACACCTTGGGACAAAGGAGACAACTAGAAGAGCTCCCAATGACCAAGGCTGGGACAAGCTGGGCTAGTAGTATTAAACTACCATCTAAACTACAAAATAATATCTATGAGTCCATATTGATGCAAATAATTGGGTAAATAAATAAATAAATAAATGAGGGAAAAACACAAATCTCCAATGCAGAAGAATTCCAAATAATTTACATAGATATTGGGCATCTAGAAGATGGAACATAGCTATTTGCTCTTTAGGTGTAGACTGGACATAGTGACTTCATTCCAAAGAGTATGTTATGGAAAGTGGGGGGTGGAGGGCAGGAAGAGTTACTTTACATGTAGAAACTTGACAAATACTATGTCAGTCAAGTAATGAAGGT